GGCTTGGCTTCGCCCTGCCCCGGTGCCTTGGGCGTTCGGGGTGCCTGGGCGCCCGCGATTCGGTGTGTTATTATTTAGCTCAGATCACCCCGGCAACAGGTGATCGCGCGTCAGCTCGACCCGCCGCCGAGCCCGCCGCGGGCGGTGCGCCCCTGCGCCGGCCCCAGGGCGGGGGCCTAGCCGCGGTCGCTCGGAGAAAAAGAAAAAACAATCAGCTCTGGTTTTTTCGGCCAGACAGGAGTTGCTTGACAATTAATTCGGAGACAACGTCGAGAGTCGCGCACGGGAGGTTGACGCAGTAAGCGCCGTGAGTTCTGAGGACCTTCCCCGGGGGGCTCGGCGAGGACCCGCGGGGCCCCGCAGGTTCGCCCCCGCGCGATCCTCAGCGGTGCGGGTTGAAGTTTGAGGGGCGCCCTTGCGCTCGCAAGTCCAGTTATAGACGAATTCCTGTTGAGGCTGTTTCGGGTCTGTCTGTGGGGCGGCCCAATTCGAGCGTCAATTCGGGCGCGGCTGGCCCGGCGTCGGCGCCCCACGTCATTGCGGGAGGCGCGGAGGGCGTTCGCCGCAGGCTTCGGCCTGCCTGGCTTTGGGGTCAAGCAAGAATAGTTCGAATGAAGATTCAAACGGTTCGGCGCCCGCGGTTTCTAAATGTCCCCTAAGACGCGCGGGCCCGGCGCAGGGCCGAGGTGGGGCTCGTGCTTGCCGAGCATTGCCGGATGCTGGATCCCCCCCCCCCCTTCCTCCGCAGCCCGTGGGCCCAATGACCCTTCTGCCCTTGCGTCGGTCAGCCGGCTGCGCGCGCCATGGGTCGGTCAGTTCTGTCGAGGCCGCTCTGCAGGGGCATCGCGGGCAGCGAGACGGTTCAGTCTGCGGCGGGGGCCAGTGGGCGGCGGGCGCAGAGAAGCGGGCCCGCCACGCGGCGAAGCGGCGAGCCGCCCCCGCGAGGGCCGCAGATTATTGGGCATCGGGCCAGAGCTCGCGCACTACTTGTCAGCTCGTCTCGGCATCAATGTAGACAGAATGGGCGGGGGCAGCAGAGGCGTGCGACGCGCGCCATCCGCTCAGTTGCGCGCGCGCGCCGGGGCGCGGGGGGGCGGGGCGGGGGGGGGGCGGGGGGCGCATCTTGGCGGGGGTGGTGGCATTTTTCACGGACCTTGGCAGTGCAACCGAGGAAGAGTCGGAAGCATGCGCGTGGCGCTCCGATCGGATCGCGCAACGGTGTCAGCGGGGAGTTGTTTCAGCGTTGGTCGGGGAGTTCGCTCCGTGGATGGAGACGCCCGCGCCGCTTGGGCGCGACCGCGCAAGGCGCTCGTGGACAGGCCAACCAGCAAGCGAAATATTGTTTTTTTCGACGATCGGGCCCTGGTGCGCCCTGGTGACATCACTTGCCTCACGCGTGAAAAGTCGGGGCAGTTGTGGAGCCCCGCCTCGGCAGATGCGAGGGCGCTTCACGAGTGGTTCCAGGTTTCTCAAGATCGAGCTGAACTTGAGCGTCTACCGCCCGTCGCGGGCGAATGCATTCGGAGTCGGAGGGCGGCGCGGTCAATGCGAGTAGAAGCGGGCGCGGGAGTCGACGGGCTGACGCTAGTGGGCTTCGGGTGATCGCCGATGGCCGCGCCTCCTCCCGAATAGCAGCAAAATATGGCTTTCGTGTCATGTGCCGCTTGGCGGTTTGCAGTCGCGCATGGCCTATGGCGCGAGAGCCGTGCGCGCGCGGCAAGGTGATTTCACAGTGGCCCACCTGGGCGTTCCGGCGTTCTTCGGGGCGCTTCAGGAGGAGGTCGCTCGTGCGTTGCACCTCCCTTCGGGGCGCGGCTGGTTGGACATTGAGGACCTCTACAACGAGATTCAGTGGCAGTGTTCCTACCAATCGGTTGATACGTTGTCTTCCAGCAGCAGTTTCATGCCTGGGGCGCGTCAGCGCATGGCACCAAGGCTTCTGGGCCTAAGTGGAGCGCTGACCCTACCTCTGGCGCCGTCACAGTCCATCGTGCAGGGGCTCAGGTCAGGCACCAGTTGCTTGCGCCATAGTTTATTTCGTGTTGCAGGAGGTGTGCGCGGCGCACTGGCGCATGAGGCGTCGCATTTGCGTGGGCGATGTGCCCCGGCGCGTTGCGGGTTCCCGCTGCTCGGCGCGTGCGCAGCTCGCCGAGAGACTTGTCATGGCGTGCGATGGATTCGCCATCGTGCAGCTTGGAGTGGCCACTGGCGGCGTGGCCATGTGTTTTCATGGCGATGCTCTCAAGGATACGCGAGTTCCGCGCCGCGCGAGGTCCACCAGTAAGCCCCGCTGGTCAGCGCCGTGCATTGGCAGCGACCTGGCATCGGTACGCAGCGCGTTTGAGCGACTAGGCGGGCTAGTTGTCTTAACTTTTATCAGACGCATTGGAAGATCAGGAATCTCGCATCAGCAGGGCAGAAGTACGCGGTACATGATGGCGTCCAAGCTCGAGAGGCTTGAGGCGCAGGCAGCGGGGTCGCACGCCCGCCCGGCCCCCGCGGCATTAGGCACCTACCTCAACGCGCGCAAGAGAAGGTTGGGAGCGGCGCGTAAGGCGATGACGAGAGGGCGTTGTCTCGCGACGTATCCGCCGCAACATTGGGCAAACGTGGGCCTCTCCTTGCGATGGTCACGTTGTTGCTGGACAGCGCCTGGGGGCCACGGTCGGCGGCGTTCTGGGCGTTACCCCGTGGTCAGAGGGCGAGGAGGTCGAATGGGATGCCAGGGCTCTGCGTGGACGGGGGACTTCGGCGCCCGCGCGCCAGCTGGCCCTGCGGCTGGCCTTCGGCGCAGCGCCCAACAGAGGATCCGGCGGCAGGCGGCCGCGCATCTCCACGAGACGCAGCGCAGCAAGGCGTGGACATGTCCCCGCTCGGACGGTTTTACAGGAGGGAGGGAGGGAGGAGGGAGGAGGGAGGAGGAGGGAGGAGGGAGGAGAAGGGAGGAGGGAGGAGGGAGGAGGGTGCTCGGCTCGCCGAAGAGGCAGGATGGCCCCAGCGTCGTGCGCCACGGCGGCTCGAGGCCGTGGGCCCTGGGGCGCGTCGCGTCGCCGTGGCGGGCGCCGAGGCCCTCTTTCTATCTCGAGAGGGCGCCCGGCGCGCAAGAGCGGGGGCGGGCATCTGTTCCATCGAGGGCGCGGCCCTCCTCCTCCTCCTCCTCCTTCCTCCCCCTCCCTCCTCCCTCCCTCCCCCCTCCCCTCCCCCTCCCTCCCTCCTCCTCCTCCTCCTCCTCCTCCTCCTCCTCCTCCTCCTCCTCCTCCTCCTCCTCCTCCTCCTCCTCCTCCTCCTCCTCCTCCTCCTCCTCCTCCTCCTCCTCCTCCTCCTCCCTCCTCCTCCTCTCCTCCTCCTCCCCTCCTCTCCTCCTCCTCCTCTCTCCCTCCTCCTCCTCCTCCTCCTCCCTCCTCCTCCTCCTCCTCCTCCTCCTCCTCCTCCTCAGGGAACGCAGGCGCTCGAGTGCGCGAGTTGTTGGAAATGTTGGAGTCGTCTTGCGTGCGTTCGCCGCGGATGCGAGGGCTCTTTTTTTGGGCGGCGCGGACTCGTGCCGTTGGAGCGGGTCGCGATCGAATCCCCCTTCGGAGAGCGAGCTCTGGAACATCTCAGGAGCAGCAGGTGCGCGCAACCATCGCATCACCTTCGGCTGCAGGACCGCGGGCAATCCGGACTGGATGTTCGGAGACGCCAGCGGGGGGAAGGATATCTCTGGTTCGAGATTTTGCGGGGTAGGTTTGGCGGTAACGAAAGTAGTTCAGTTTCAACCCGTTCGGATTCCAGGCGCAGTCTCGGGAGGCTTCCCAGGAGGCCAGCAGAGTGTGCCGAGAGGCGAATTTTTTCGCATTGGCATTGGTGGTCGGCATTCGTGGATCCAGTGGCGCGGCCGCGCAAGTTACGGACGACGCCACGGCGGCGGACGGCTGGGCCAAGAGGCTTTTTTGTTCAATCCATCCGGGGGCGCGCGGACCTATGTCGCAGCCCTGGGCAAGCCCTCCAAACCCTCCAGGGTCGTGGCTCACTGAGTTCACTGCCATGTTTGTGAATTCGTGGTTGTCAGAGCAGGCGTTGTGGAAGGCAAAGTGATGCTGCTGCTGGCAATGGGCTGTGAGGCGGCGACCGTCTTGGCTGGTGCAGCAGAAGCCAGGGCCAGGGTCAGTGGTGAAATCAAGTTTCGCGTCGTGCGCATCGGGAAAGATGCGTTTTACATACGTATGTGCCAAGCTCGTGCCGCACTTGGCACGATGGACGTGGATGCTGAGCTGGAGAAGTAAGTTCTGGGAGCCTAGGGGGAAATGGCCCTGGCCTTCCGCCCTCCTTCTGCAGCTGCGGTCAGGTTGTTCGCAGCGAGCCACGCAATTGGCGAGTCGGGCAGAAGATGCACCCAATGCTTCAGTTTTGCCGCTCTGGCATCGCAGAGTAATTGTGTGCATCCTCACTCATGTCAACTTGCGAGTGTGGGCGGGAGGCGTTTCGCCCTCCCCTTTTTGTGTGATGAATACAGCGGGAGACTGGGCGCACAATGGTCACCGAATGCGTTTGCACAAACAGTGTGGATTGTAGTGTTGTGTTCGTGGTGAAGGTTACGGTAGTAGTTTAACGAAGAGCTTGGGGGCACGAATGTTTCAAGACTGCGAATGCGAATTGGCGCGCGTATCTAAGTCGGACCAACTCCGATCGAAGGCCCAGGCGTTTTCGGGCCGAGCTGCTCGCTCGCAAACGCTCGTAGTTCGGTTTCTCGATTCGCATCGCGATTGGTCGCAATCACGCACTCACCCCTCCTCGCGTTCGCCCTGTTCTCGCTCATCCTGCTCCTCTTTCCCTCCCCTTCCCCTCTCTTCTCCGTCTGCTACCTCTCCCCTCCCTGTCCTCGTGTTCGTCCAGCTCTCCCTCATGTCGCTCGTCCTCATCCCCCATTCCCTTCTCTTACCCCTCCGCCCCCTTCCCTTCCGTCCACCCCCCCCGCAGGGGGAGGGGGGGGCCTAAGCGCACCACTCAGTCCTAGCAGCGAGGCTGCCCTGGCAGAACGTCCTGTGCGTGTGCGTCTGCGCTGTTCGCGTCCACCTGCTGTCCGCCTGCAAGAGCGGCTGCGAGTCGGATCCGCTCGGCGACGGCTTCGTCAAGCGTGTGGGCAGCGAGCTGGTTGCCGATAGCCTCAAACGCCCAAGTGTCGAGCGTATGAGTCTGGAGGAGGAGGAGGAGGAGGAGAAGAAGAAGAAGAAGGAGGAGGAAAAGGATGCGGAGGAGGAGGGCGAGGAAGCAAGATGCATATGAGGATGTATGGGGTATCGATTAGGGATGATGATGATGATGATGATGATGAGGAGGAGGAGGAGGAGGAGGAGGAGGAGGAGGAGGAGGAGGAGGTCGGGAGAAGGGAAAAGGGAACATGATGGTGGTGAGGAAGACGAGCAGGATGATCGGGAGGAGGAGGAGGAGGAGGAGGACCAGTGTAAATCCAAGACGCATCAACGATGTCGCAATCAATCCTCCCTCCAAGCTCCCTCTCCATAGCTCCCTGTAATGCGTTGTCCATCGCGCGAAGTGCCTCAGTCAAAGACAATCACTGCTTGACAACCCCTGATTCTGCCAAAACGCAATTCCTGGGACTACAGCGCCGCAGATTAGCGTGACTGTTGCGCCCCGACAATCGTAAATCGTGCCAGGGAGCCATTCTGCGACGCCAACACCGCGAACCAAGGTGATTGACGCGTCGTGGCACTTCTCAACCGCTCCTGCATACGACGATTCGAAACTTGGTGCATGTTTTTGTGGAGCCCATGTGAGCGGTGCTAAAGCGAGAGTCATAGCTTGAACATGAACCGGCCCCCATGTTTGAAAGTGTTGCGAATTTCGAGTTGCAAGATCACGTGTGGCGAGGATATCTCAGGCGACACGCCCAGCTTGGCCTAGCAGCACGTCCCGGGGGTGTGACAGGGAGGAGGGATGCGGAGGAGGAGGAGGAGGAGGGGGAGGAGGAGGAGACTTAGACTTAGACTTAGACATCCCTCGGCGAAGACAAGCAGAGTTATCCGGCTGTTGAGATCGCTGGGCTGCACGCCTGTGTGGCTGCAACCGAGTTCACACGCTGGCATTGGTGGGAAAATCACACGGGCCCCTCCACAACCCACGAGGTACGAGCAAAGGGCATGGAGGTGGCAGCCCATAGATTCACTGAAGGGAGTGTGCCCTTCTGGGCGCCTTGTCCTGCAGCAGGGGGCCGCGCTGCAGAACAGAGCGCCGCAGCAAAGCTTACTCTCTCCCACGCTCCGAGGGACGATATTGTCTCCCCCTACCCCTACCCCGCCCTGTAGGGCGCGACTGGATTTTTGCGACTGGCACGAGGCGGCCCTGGGAATCCGTAGGAATCTCTGGGGCCAAAGCCGAAGTATACGAAGCGAGGAGCGTTTCACGACTGACGAGCCCCCTCCCAATTAGTTCCTCTGGGCGAGCGCTACTGGACAATCGATCCTCCTCACGTCTATTTCTGGGAGCCTCCCTCAGAAGCGCGGGGAGCGGGGCAACACCATCCCCGCGCCAGTTCTAGCTCAAGGCTCGACGTCCGAGCGAGGAAAAAAACAGAAGAAACTTCGGGGAGCCTCCCTCGAGCCTGTGCAGGAGCGCTCTGGCGTCCCTCGCCAGGGTCCCCCCGAGGCGCTGCTCCTCTGTGGTGATCTCCCCGCCCTGGCGGGCGGGCTCCGATCGCAGCACCTCGTCAATGGCGTTCGTTTTCCTGCTGTGGATCGCCAGCGCCCACTGCAGGTGCACCTTGCCCTCCATGCGCTTGCTCTTCTTCTTCTCCTTGCCCTGCGAGACTCGCGCTCGAGCGTACGTCACGTCCTCCGCCATGTCGCTCAGTTCGTACATCATAATGCGATTGCGCTAGTAGTCCGTCAGAATCTCTCGTGGCTTGCCTTCTGTACTCGCGAGGAGCGCGCGGGTGAAGTCCTTCCACACGTGAAGACGAGGGCTGCCCAGCTTCGCCGTGTCCACCGTGTCGTCGTCACTGCTCTCCTCGCGCAGCAGCATCGCCGCCTCGTGGTAGTCCTTGCCCGCGTGGCTCGCCGCCGTAATGCACGGGATCGCTGCTGGGACGAGCGCCGTGACGAAGACCACGCTGATGACCGAGCGCAGGTCCCCCGCCATGCTGATCACCAGCTTGCCGAGGATTGCGACGAGGGCCTGCACGATCTGCGCCTTGTTGGCACCTTCGCCAGCGCTGGCCCTGGCCTTTGCCACGACCTCGTCCCCCTTCAGAGACTTGCCACGCTTGCCTTTGGGTAATGCCCACTTCGCCTCGGTGAGCCCTTGCCTCCTGCATCCACTGCGGCACGTTGAGGTCCGCAGCCATACCGAAGATTCTTGCCCACTATGGCGGGCGCACGTATATCAGGAAGATATGGAAGATGCAGTGCGAGATGCCCACGAAGCTCGAGCCAAGATTCAGCTACGTAATCGCATCCATGACACTCCAGGGATCGAGGCTCGAGGGGCTGCACGAGGGCACGGGCGAGGTCAGCAACACACTAGCCTCTTTGAATAGATCGAGCGAGGTGTCGACGAGCCGTGACGGGCGACGCGAATACTGTCTGACAGACGGTGCACTCGTTCGTGGGGCTGTAGGACGAACACCAGTTTACGATGTTGTGCACCAATCGAAGATGAGTACGAAGGGCGCGTTTCGAATAGACAGTCCTCCCGCAGGGCCTCCCCTTCACCTCTACCAGGCACTTGTGAACCTCCTCCACCTCGTGAATCATCATCTCCTCATCCTGCTTCTCCAAGGCTGGGGGTGAGGCACATGCTGGGGGTGCTATGTTATGTTTGAGTTCCCGGGCTCGAGGGATCGTGACATCGATGGAGCAGAACTGGGAGTGCCATTCAGGACATGTTAGCCAAACCACTGACTGTGGATGCCATCTCTCGCAGATCCTGCGCTTCTTCCGAAACGAGCACGAGCTGGTCCATATCCTCCTGGACACGTTTGGCCCAAGGGTTGGCACGGTCTGAAATAATTCCATCATCTTCAACCGTGTTCGTCGCTTGGGCATTGATGGTGCCAAAAGCGCCCCGAAGAACTGCACGTTGTTGTTGCGATACTCTGCTGCTTGTTGCAGCCACCGAAGCCTCCTCGCACGTAGTTCCACTTCAGCCCGAGCTATCTTCCAGGGGGCCAGGACCTCAGCGTTCGTGAGCGAGCGTACTGTACCATCTTCTTTTTACGTGCAGGCTCTCCCTCTCATTGCAATCCTTGCCAAAGAAGCGACCACTCCGTCTATGGTGTCGGGCTGCCGCTTAGAAGATCGCCGATTCTCAGGAAAATGTGCAAAAATATGGGAAGTGGGGGGGAAGACAAAAAAACCAAAACTATAGGAAACTATGGGGAATATTCTTATTTGTGTGTATTTATTTGTGTGCGTCCTGGGGCCCCTTCACCGACGCTGGCACGGCCGAGGCCGGCGCAGGCAGTGCCGGCAGGCGCGCAGGGCTCACGCGGGCGCAGGGCTCACGCGCGGAGCGTGTGCGAGCAGCCGCGGCCCCTGCCGCGCGCCCGCGCGTGCCTCGCCGCGCCGCCGGGGCTCCCTGCGCCCCCAGGCCCAACGGCAAGCAGGAGGGGAAACACACACAGAGGCACAAGGGATCGTCCACTCTCAGGAAGATAGGAGAACATATGGGGAGTGGGGGGGAAGACAAAGACCCAGAACAAATATTGGAACATATGGAGAATCCTTTTGTTTGTGTGTATTTATTTGTGTGTGTGTGTGTCCCAGGGCCCCTTCAAACAACAACAACAACAACCACAACAACAACAACAACAACAACAACAACAACAACAACAATAACAACACCAACAACAACAACACCAACAACAACAACAACACCAACAACAACAGCAGCATCAACAACAACAGCAGCAGCAACCGCAACAACAACAGCAGCAGCAACAACAACAACAGCAGCAACAACAACAGCAGCAACAACAGCAACAACAGCAACAGCAACAACAGCAACAACAGCAACACCGACAACACTGACAACAATAACAACAACAACAACAGCAACAACAACAACAACATCAACACCAACAACAACATCAGCACCATCAACAACAATAACAGCAGCGGCAACAGCAACAACAACAGCAACAACAACAACAGCAACAACAGCAACAACAACAGCAGCAGCAACAACAACAACAGCAGCAACAACAACAACTTGTCCGTCCCAGTCAAGGGACGAAGAACCACCCCGGATGGCATTTGCTGAACGGCCGTCGGCGTTTCCGAAGCAGCTCCGTCCTGTCCGATTCCCGGGCTGCGTGCACGGCCCCGCGTGTCGCCGTGCCTGCTACGAGGTCGTTTGTCCTGTTCTCTACAGACCGCGCAGTACAGTCGGGGCCCTGAAGAAGGAACCCTTTTCGTTGGGGAAGGGGCTCCGCGTTCCTTAAGTGTTTCGCAGCTTGCCTCAGGTTTTCCCTAGGTTTTCGATGTGAAATCGAAGTTTAATTCATGAAAAAAGGGGCCTCGTTCCTTATTTTGGGTTCCTTAGGTCAACGCCCCGACTGTACGAGGTCGTTTGTCCTGTTCTCTACAGACCGCGCAGTATTCGGGCGAGCCGTCTCTGCGGACCAGCCGAGCCCAAAGCGAGCCAAGAGCTCCGCAGTTTAGAGCGCCACCGCTTCGACCCGAGACGGACGTACTGCGTTTGTCGCCCTCACCTTTTCGTCGTCTTGTCTCCTCCTTTCCTTCGGAACCTTCCATCAAGCGGGTGCAGCAGCAGCAAGAGGAAGGAGAGGAGAAGGAAGACAAGCTAGGTGCGCTCGCGCCACATCTGACATTCTATCCCTTCCTCCAGTCCCTTCCCGTTGCGCTGGTTTTCTTGATCCGCGAGCGCGTGCCATAGCTGATCTGGAACAGAAAGACCCCGAGTCGTCTTACGCGCAGTCGGAAACGGGGAGCTGCTTACGCAAGAGGAGGAGGAGGAAGGAGGAGGTGGTGGGTTACCAAGAGGATGAAAGGGGGAAAATGAGGATGTGGACGGAGGAGGACGAGAACGAACAGCAGCAGCAGGAACCGGAACAGAAGGAGCGGGAGGAGCATGAGGCCAGGGGAAGGCGGAGCATGGGAAATGAGGCGCGGACAACGATGAACAAAGACCTTGACCCAGAAATGTGGCCCACGCTGGGGCGCCGATCCCAAAATGAAGCCCACGCTGCAGCGGGAACACCATCTTGAAGCACCGACAAACTCTCATATTGTAGACACCAAGAGAGAATAAACCAACATTGAAGTCCTGTGTGTGAAAAATGTACGCGGAGTGGGCCAGAGATCTTCCAGACAGAATCAGCAGAGATGGGCGAGTATATTTCATAATGTGTAGTTGTGGAGGGAGGGGGATGAATGATGATGTTGAAGACGAAACCATAACGTTCTTACTAATAATAACAAGGAGGAGGAGGAGCAGGAGGAGGAGGAGGAGCAGGAGGAAGAGGGGGGACCCCTCAACGCTGACACCATGGGTCAAGCTCGTCTCGAGAAGGGCTCTGATCCAGGAAGCATCGTCTTGCCATCTTCCCAGGGGGTTCCTCTTTCTCCCTCTTCCTGTGCCCCCCCCTCCTCCCGCTTCCCCTGCCCTTCCCCTCCCTTCCCCTGCCCTTCCCCTCCCCTGGGCTTCGTGCCCCTCTCTGGGGCCTCCTGAGTCTCACTGGGACCTCCTGGAACCTTCTTGAGTCTTGCGCGGCCCCCAGGACCTTCAAGTCGGGCCTGTCCCTCTACAGGGGGAATATTCAATAGTCAAAAATAGTCTGGGGACGACTTTTTGACCATTTTTGAGTATTGGGGGGGTATTTTGTAAGTATTTTCAGTTTTCGCCCACCCAAAGTCCCCCTGTAGGGGGACACGCCCGACTCAATTAGGACCTCCGAGGAATTGGTCCCAGGCCATGTGCCCATGACCCCAACCGGAGGGAGGGATACGGCAGGTTCGCGTCGTGCCGACTGGCGGCGCGGCGACCCCAGCGCGGGCGCTTTTAAGGTTGAGCGCCGCTTGTGACCCAGTCGGGTATAGCCAGGACCCCGGGTAAGGGGTCCCGGTTAGTGGTAGGGCCTTTGGGCCCCTCAATTGGCCAGATTCACAAAACCAGGTTTGCCGTAACTGGTGTTTTTCGGGTGACGGCAGTTCCGGTTAGTGGAAATCGGACGGGGGGGCGCCCCCGGTACAAATCACTAAACCAGGTTCCACTAAACCCAGTTCTGCCAACGCCCGACCCAGAATCGGCCCATACGGGCCGATTCTTAAGCTTGAACGATCCGGCGTTCACGGGGCGGCGACCCCAGGCGCGGGCGCTTTTACGGCTGAACGCCGCTTGTCACCTAGAATCGGCCCATCCTTGAGCGATCCGGCGTTCACGGAACGGCCGCTCGTTTAAGGTTGAATCGGGGGTGGACAGAACCCCCAACAGTGACACGTCGATTAGTGAGTTGTCCGTTTTCGGTTCTCGAGAGGGCGCCGCGGTCGTCATTTTCCAGGCCTGCGCCCGCCAGGTTTGGGCCTCAGGTCGTCTTCACTAAACCACGTTTTACTAAAGGGAGGTCTGTCCATCCCCGAGTTGAACGGCGGCGACCCCAGCGCGGGCGTTTAAGGTTGAACGCCGCTTGTGACCCAGAATCGGCCCATCTTCGAGCGATCCGGCGTTCACGGAACGGCCGCTCGTTTAAGGTTGAATCGGGGGTGGACAGAACCCCCAACAGTGACACGTCGATTAGTGAGTTGTCCGTTTTCGGTTCTCGAGAGGGCGCCGCGGCCGTCATTTTCCAGGCCTGCGCCCGCCAGGTTTGGGCCTCAGGTCGTCTTCACTAAACCACGTTTTACTAAAGGGAGGTCTGTCCATCCCCGAGTTGAACGATCCCCGCGGTGTCAGGAGCCAACGCTGGTGTCGACGCGACGCGACCCTGCCGTGCCTGGGCCTGTCTGTGCCGAGCCGTGGCCGGGATCGGAGGGTCGGTGCCCGAGTGCCTCTGCCTTTGCTGTTGCCTCGGAGTGCTGAGCTCCGGCGTGCCTTTACTTTTGCCTTTGCTTTTGCCTTTGCTTTTGCCTTTACTCTTGCCTTTTGTCGACCTCCGGCGACCACCATCTCAGCTTTCCGACCTCCAACCTTCAGCATCAGACTTTCCATCTCCACCTCCACCTGTCGACCTCCAGCAACCGGCTTCCCACTTCCACGCCCATCCATCCGACCTATCACCCTCACCTCCACCCATTGGACTCCAGAATACACCAGACGTCCAAACATTCTACGTTTCACACCACTTTCATCCAGATCGACCGCCAGTCCCAGGCCGACTACTGAGGGCTCAGCGTTGATGGGGGTTAAGACAAGTCTGGCGAGGTCGACGAGGGTGACAAGAAGTTCCGCTTCGCCTCGATCAACGCGCCCAATCTTCACAGAGTGGAGGTTGCCTGGGTCCATCACACCATGGGGACTAGGATGAGGATGAGGCAAACGAGGGGGAAGAGGAGGTTGAGGTGAATGGGGGAGGAAGGTATCGGATTTTGTGGGGAAGTCGTCCGTGCTTGATGTGTTTTCTGGAGTTTGTTTCATGGTATGATGGAACCAATCAAGGTCGAACCAAAACCAGCTGAGTGTTCCCTCCGAAAGTGCTCCGTCGAAGAGTGGGTTCGTGCTCCCTCGGAGTACGAGATACGGGATACCCTCTGCAGCATTCGGCAAATGGGCGCTAGCGTGACGAGGATTTATACCTTCTCATACGGAGATGGCCCTGGCTTTCATGTAAATCGCGACGGTGTTTTGAACGAGGCTTGGTTTCGAGTCTTCGACCAGATGCTGGCAATTGCGCGCGACGTGGGCGTAAGATTGATAGTGCCGTTAATCAATACAAATTGGATCGAAGGGTGGGGTTCTGTGTATGAATATGGCGACTGGGCCAACGAAGCAGGGTACAGCTTCTTCCGCTCGCAATCGCAACGGGCCATGTTCAAGGCAACGATTGAGCTGATCTTGAATCGGAACAACTCGCTCACTGGGCGGAGGTATGCAGATGACTCGTCGATTCTCGCCTGGGAGCTGGGCAACGAACTGACAGATGATGAATTTCATGGGTTCCCGGTACCTGTGGAGTGGACCCGGGATGTCGCGCGCCACATTCGGAAATTTGATCGTAACCATTTGTTGATGGATGGCGGGTTCTTTTCCACTCAAGTGCTCGCCGTGACAGAGATCGACATCGTCGGTTCGACTTATCCCCATGGGCTTCGCACTCTTCCGCTGGCACTCTCTCTATAACAACGGGGTAGATCAAAGCTATCGGAGGTTGGGGGAGTGACATCGAAGTGGAACTGAGAGCCCCCCACCGTAACATCGGTTTCGGTTTCGGGTTCGTGTCGTGCGTGCTGGCCTGGCGAAGCTGCGTGGGCGGGCGAGAGGAATGACTCCGCGGTTGCTACGGCGGGGCAAGACAATTGTCCGAGTCTCCCCTGGCGGGCGGGCGGTGGCCGGGTTGTCCCGCTGTGGTGTCCCGTCGGTGTCCCATCGCTGTCCCGTTGGTGTCCCTTCGCTGTCCCGTCGCTGTCCCGTCGGTGTTCCGTCGGTGTCCCGTCGAGATCGACAGTGAGATCGACTGTGCGATCGATTGAGTGAGATGGTTGTTTCTCCTCGTCGCCCGACGGGTGGTCGTACAGGTACTGGGATGTCTGGGCGCCGCTTGAAAGCAATATTGGGACATCTTGCGAGGGCAGCTGTCGATCAGAGAAACACACTGAGATTATGAAGTTCTGGTTGAATGTATTTTCATCTCCTAGCGTTTCACTAACAATATGTCTTGGGGGCCCCCTGGGTTGCGCACACTATGCGTTCGTCCAGTCTTGATGCAGGTTTCACTGCAGGCAGCGATTGGGTAGCAGACTTGGCAGAATCAATACATCGTCTGGTGGTTGCGCCGGCCCCGCGGTGCATATTCAAATGCTTCGTTTTTGCTAGAAGCAACATATTTTTTGGAGGCCCTCTTGGTACGTGGGGGGGGGCTTGAGGCCATCTTGAACCGAATTTCGAACTTGGGACTGTCTTCGCCTTCCCTGCGCCTTTACCTATTTCTGAGGACTCGTTGCTTTGGGTCCAGCGCCATATTTTCAGGAAACTGCGGTGGAGCCGAAAAGCGCTGCCCCGACAGACATGTCCCAAGACAGAAAATTCCAGCTGTTTTGCTTTGGGGAGAGGGCAGGTTGCGCTTTCCGGGCAGCTTCCGTGGGGTACGGTGGGGGCGTTGGTTAAGGAATGCGCCCAGGAGGCCCCAGATCCCGGAGGATTCCTTATCTGATGAAAGCGAGGGTGGTATCCACGGCCGAGCTTCAATTGGTTTTCTTCCGGCTTTCAGACCCTGGGTGCGGCGCGGGCGCAGTGCAAGCGCTGTTTGCATGCACGCGTTCGCGCTCGAAGTGATACAAAATGCCCTCACCGTAGTTTCGCGGTGTCGGAAAGAGCGTGTTCTACCGCTGCTGGCGGAAAACCGGGGGGGGTCACTACCGGTTCGAACCCCCTCCTCCTCCCCCCCCCTCTGGAAAACCCGGGGGGGTCACTACCGGTTCGAACCCCTCCCCCCACCAGTCCATCATGAAAAGAGGGGGGGTCACTGCCGGTTCGAACCCCCCCCCCCCCTCGAAAACCAGGGGGGGTCACTACCGGTTCGAACCCCCCCCCCCTCTCGAAAACGCATTGAACGGGGGGGCGGCCCGACTGTGGACCAGATTGCCAAAGTCACCTTCTGGTGGCCACCCGACCTGGGTGACACCCTGACACCCTAGTGTGGCAGACTGGGGCTTCCTTCAGGCACGAGGTACCCTGGCAACCGTTGCGTCGTGACGTACAATCACGCGAAACAAAGCCCTTGTCACGCCGACACCGACCGAGCCTAAGCCCCAGTCGACCCCGAGGCCTCCTGGTACTGGTTTGACATAGCCCTGTCGGATGTCCAGCACTGAAGACTCTGCGCTGCGATCAACGACTACGGCCACCCCCTGCCCATCGTCACCTTCTTGCTCACCTTCCGAGCTGCTCCCAGGGAGGACAAAACCCGGGCGAACGATGTGGCGCACAATGGCAGGCGAGGGTTGTACCTACAGGCGAGGGCCGCCGCAACCCTGGCTCTCCCAGTACCAGATGCAGACCTCGCCGTGATGCAGTTGCCCGATCCCGCAGTCGCGATGCAGTCGCCACCAGGACTCCCGCCCCTCAACCTACCTGGCTTCACCAGTGATGAGGTGCTGAGCGCTACTGGTCACGTCTTCCAGCGGGCAAACACCACCCCCTCCCATGACACCCTGGGCAGTGGCGCCCGCAGACATGGCCTAAACGACAATGCCGTCCGAGCCCTCCAAGCCACCGCGCAGCACCACGTGGCCGTCGTGCATGGCCCCCCCCGGCACAGGGAAGACCAAGTTCTCGGCATGCGCGCTCAACACCTGTGCGGGCACTCGGGTGCGGGGCCAGGCGGTGACGCTCACAGCGGGCTCCAACAAGCCCGTACACGCGCTGGTTACCGCCCACCAGCAGGGCCTCCTGGACGAGGACACGCGATTCCCAGACCGCTTCGTACGCTTGGCAAGGGAGAACCGAGTCGCCCCGTCCCTGGTAAACTTGACTCCTGGCGGGCACTACAACAGGGCCATGGGCTCGTTCCCCTGCCAGAACGGTGCAGCCTCGTCGGGTTTCCCGCCGTTCCGAGTCGGCCTGCTGAAGGAGGCCAAGGCCATCGTGGCCACGCACGAGGCTGCCGAGGCCCTGGGGCAAAGCAGTGCAGCAAAGGCTGCCCTACTCATTGTTGACGAGGCTGGCCAAACAACTGAGCTTCACGCCGCCATGTCACTGGTCGGTGTCATCAGGGGTGGTGGCCACCTCGTCCTGGTGGGCGACCCCGAGCTGCGACCGCCCACAGTGATCTCCAAGCTCGCCGCGGACCTGGGCCTCTACATTGCCATCTCTGACAGATTACATCACGCCCTGAGGGGGCAGGACTCTGCGGTCGTTCAGCTAGCGGTCTGCTACCAGATGCACCCGCAGCTCCTGGCATGGCCGAACTGGGCCTTCTACAACAACACCATGCGCAGCGGCCTGGCTTCTCTGACTGATCGACCGTTAGTCGATGGCCTCCCCTGGCGACCGATCCCGGCTTGGAGCGAGGGCGCGCTCGCCGAGCTGGCACGAGCCAACCAATCGGACAAGGACAACCTCAGGAGGACCCTGGACCCCCTGCACCCTGCGGGTGCGGGGGAAGGCGAAAGGGATAGGTTTTTCTTGGTCGAAACCCGTCCCTCGAGGTCACCTCCAGCATGCATGCCGTTTACGCCAACCTTCCAGAGGCGACGCAAGCGGTGGGCTTAGTGAGAGCGCTGACGCCCGCGGTGGAAGGGGGAGTCAAGGTCCGCCTGGCGATCGGGTATCAGATGCGAACCGCCGTCCTGGAGGAGGACGGGTGACCGCAGAGCGCGGCCAACATCAGAGGCGTGCTCCGGCAGTCCAAGGGCGACAAAAGCAAGGCCAAGAGCGGCAAGGGGAATACCAAGGGGAATGAGGGTGACAAAGGAGACGGCAAGGCCAGCAAGGACAGGAGAGCCGCTCCCCAGCCCCTGCGACCAGCCTGGCAGGACAAAAGGGCGGATCGGATGGCCAGAGGATCGTGGGCCGGACGGGCTGGACCAAGGTTTTCGACCAGGAGGGCTCCTCGCGCGCCGGCATTGGCACCAGCTTCCCTGGCCTGCAACAGGTTGCTCCCCAACATCTACCATCAGGCAACCTAGTGCTCTCCACCATCGATTCCGCCGAGGATGAGAGGCGGACATCGTGATCTTCCTTAACACCAGGTCGAACGGGAACCACGACAGGGGGTTCATGGACAACGCCAACAGGATCAACGTTGCCATTGCAAGGGCCACTCGCTTCGTCGTTATCCTCGGCGACGGCAGACTGTTCGCCTCCACCGCGTGGTCGAGGCTGAGGGTGCTTCCCGAGGGCGGGCGCCTGGCTGGTCTCTGGGTCAGGTTTCTGGATCCCTGGCGGGCGGGCTCACGTACCAGCCTGGCTGTCGACCCCAATTTCGACCCCGTCGCGCGCCTGGCCACCTGGGTCACCAGCCCTGTCTCCTGGGATGGCTGCGCAAGCGGGGACGTATCCGGGACTCAGCTGGGCAGCACCCTCAAGAAGGCCCTAGACTCCCTGGCCAACAGCTTTGCCAACCGTATCGAGACCCCGCTCGACCCTGGCTTCAATCGGGATGCACTGGGCATCGGCCTCGCCAACAGCCTCGACCAGCTTCTGGCCACCCCCGCCTTCTCGGTCGTGTTCTACTTGGTCTCAGGTCTACATCCCCGCGAGTTCTCCGTCGCCGATGCGCCGAGAGAACCTGGGATATTCGACCGCAAAGCCTGGTTTCACCTTGGCTTCCTCTACGACATGTCCCTGGGCCTGGATGCTAGCAACCTGGTCTGCGACCCGCTCTGGGCGTGCCTTGTCTGGGTTGTGGGACTGGGCACCCCTGGAAGGGCCAAGACCTGGCCGCCCCGAGCGAGTCCCTGCCGCCCTCGCCCCAGGCCCGCGGGCGCAGCTACCGATCCAGGGCGAACCGGCAGCGCGCGCGAAAGGACTTGCCAAGACAGGTTCCGGAAGTTCGGGGCAGGGAGACCCGTGGGTGCTGCAGACACCGCCAACGCCCTGGCATGGACACCCTGGTGCACCTCCTCCAGCCAGCTCCGTCGGGCCAGCCATTCAGAAGCGACGTGATAGACGCGGACGGGGACCCCATGAGCCCCCCCCAAAGAGCTCGTTCTTTTCTGATAATCATGATGCTCATGATCAGGGAGCCCAGGGTGTTCCTATGGCCGCTCCCCCACGCAGAGGGCACTGGGGACGTCATTGAAGCGGTGCTTGGCATTTGCGTTCCCTGGCAAGACGCCCACCTGGAGTTCCGTCAGAAGCTTGCAGAGACTAGGGGGGTCTCCCTGGACGACCTAAGTGCGCTGCATGGCGGCATCGAAAATGCTTTCCTCCACGTCTCCAGGCCGGTGACTGGTGCGCGCGGCCATGGAGCAGCAAAAGACGCCAACTGCCCACATACCTGGAAGGACATGGAGAAGCATGACTTCAAGCTGGAAGCGCCCATGACTGTCCTGGAACAGATCGTGCCCGCGGCAAACATCGCAATCCTGGCCAACGCCAAGTGTTCCATCTGTGCGCTCCACCGCGAGCT